CCCGTCAGAACGCGCCTATCCGTGTCACTTTGACCGGTTTTTCTTTCTTTTAATATATCGCGTAAACGTTAGTAATTCGATTCGAAATCAGGAAGACTCGATTTGCACGACAAAGCGGGGAATATAAAATGAGCGAGGTTCGAGAATCGAGCGTTGATCGAAATCATTTTTTATCTTCTTAGGCCCCGAGATAATCGTCTGCCTATAAATACGCGTCTACTGATTAGTTGAGTTTTGTGAAATGTATGTTTCTTTCTCAGAGAGAAATGCGTTCACCCACACCCTCTTTTTTCCCCATTCAAATAAGTTTTTTTCTGTGTTCTTACTCGCCTTTCTTTAGTTTCTTATTGAGATTAGAACGCACGAGTATATATATATATTCGGACTCTTTCTTAATTTCGGATCCCGTGTTGAATCGTATGGCTGTGTGTCTGTACATGCGTTTGACGGCTAAAAATGTGAGTATATACTGCAATTTAGAAAATGTCTCAGAATTGTAAATCGCACCTGTTACCGAGTATTTCAACGAGTGCGTTTTCTGTGTGAGTGTATATGTGTTTAGTATACGTGTATAAGTGAATCATGTATATGAAAAAGAGACACGGAGAAGGACGGACGCCTCTTAATACATTGCGCCCTTGATTTTGTTTATTTAACTCGTTGCACGATTTTTACAAGTCTTTAAATATGCCAAAGGTCACTTTTTAAAAATATAAGTTATATCGTCTTTGTTTTTTCTCATTACTCTTTCGTTCTCGCGCAACTTGTCTTTCTTTCTTTCTTTCCCTTTCATTCTCTTTCTCTCTTATCTTTTGTTTATGCACTTTCACTCTTGTTCATTCGCACTGTCATTGTCACTGGTGCTCCTGTATTCACGTGCATCACTCTCTTTCTCTTTTTTTATTTTTTAAATTCAAACTTTTTTTCTTTTTTTCTTTTATTCTCTCTCTCTCTCTCTCTCTCTCTCTCGTTTTCTTTCTTTCTTCCTCTCTCGCTGTTCTTTTTAAGTCTTTTGTCATAAAATCCTTGTATATTATTAATAGTATTCATTTTCTTCATTATTTATATTTAATTTTTTTCTCTAACGAAGAAATTTCCTAAAAATAATATTAGTTCTATATCAGTTCGGTTATCAGTGTAGCATTTTGAATGTGCATTTAACAATACATGACGTTCGCAATCTAAATAAAAAAAAAGCAATGATTTGAAATTGACTTTGACACAACAGCTCCTTTGATACAAAAATGTTATAAAAAATATGTAATTAATTCAATAATTCCTATTATTAATAAATAAAATATAAAATTTTATATAAATAAAATATAAAAAATTTTTGTATGTAAAAAATATTACGACAATCCGTTATAAAAAAAATTATAAAGTGTATTTTTTCAATAAAACTTATCGTTTTTATGTTAATGTTTTTGCGTGCATTTGATTAGTGATCGACAGTATTATCGAGTTTGCCACAAGTTTCGCGTCAATGATGTGATAAGACGCGTCGTGACAGGCGAGATTAGTAGCGAATAAAACAATTTTTTAATTAAAAAGAAAATCCACATATTAATGGAAAGAAATTGCGCGTTGCGCAATAAATAAAATTATTAAAAAATAAAATTGATTAACAAAATTGCAAATGTCCTGAATTATATGACAAATCGTTAATTAATTACTTCTTTTTTCTCGTAACTTTATAAATAGTAACATCAAATTCCTTTCATTCGTATCAGGGGTAAGTGCTTCGAAATTACAGCTATCTAGCATTGCGTTTGTCAGTGCCCTGTGTTGCCGCGAGTATTTGTTATTTATCATTAACATTATTATTAAAAGAGGGCTCTTTACACTTCTCTTTCAATTCGCGTGCCATTTGCTACTCGCTCCGTTTGTGCCGAAATCTTTAGGTAAAGAGGGAAGAGTGTTTATTATACAAATTTCGCAATACTCGACTGATATAATTCACTCGTTTTGTCAATTTTTCTTTCTTCCATTCAAACCTTGTTCCTTTTGCACAAAGATGATCTAGCACGAGCCGCGCCGTACTTCTTATGTTTGCCCTTTTTATCATCCTCTCATTCTTTTTCTTCCTCACGTACGCACACACACCTACTCATACATATACACATTCACACACATATACACATTCTCGCATCTTTTTCTTTAAAATCGTATAATTTACAATTACTATACAACATGACTGAAAATACCTTAGACCACGATAATACAATTATAATCGTACTGTGTTTTTTAATTTTTTTATTACCACTTAATTTTATATATGCTTTTATTTTTATTCCTCAGTATTCATCTCGTTTTTCTTGTACGCGAGTATCTTAAAACATTTATGTTCACTTATCGTACCTCGTACAACGATACAGCTTCTCCTAATGTTCTTTAGAGTTTTCTTAGATACTTACATCTCTACCTATGTATAACGATTTCTACCTACATATATATATATATATATATATAATATCTCTCTATCTGCTCTCAAGCACTCTTGGACGCATACGCTCTATTCTCATTCGTCGACCTATAATATTCATCTGTCTATCTAAATGCCTATCTAACGATTTAGCTAATCCATCTATCTAAACGTCTAGCTACTTTTTTTATTCAAAGTATCCGAGCTTTTCTCTTGTCGTTATTTAATTGCTCGTGTCTCTATCTCCGATTTCGTTCGCTTAGCAATACATGTATATCTACAGAGCTCGTTGGTCGCCTCGATTGGAAATGCCGGGAATACTCGTCTTGACGACAAAGACCTTTCGTAGGGAAAAATCTTCCCTTTTGCGATATTGACTCGTCACCTCTTCTTCAATACCAAGTCTAAATACAAACCCAGTGCAGAGGTGCACACGAGTCTCTGAAGAGTAAATTATACATGCGTGGACTCTGACTCTAACAAGAATCGTTATCTTCAGTTACTTTCGTTCCAGCGGCCGGCATGGAATTTAACGAGAGGTCGTCGAGGTCAGAGACGAGACTTTGCATCTTTCACGCGGCTATTTCTTTTCCCTTGTACTACGTGTACTTTTAATTACATCTCGCCCGTTGGAAAAAAAAGATCGGGGATGGGAGGGGGGAATGTCGCGAACGCGACGACGACCACAGTATCCGAATATGGCTATCAAAAAGACGTCTGGCTTCATGGCCGTTATATCTTAAAATTGTAAATGCTACATATATATATATAATATATTTATTTATTTATAATTAATTGTGAACATGGTAACAAATAATAAAACATTGAAAAAATTGCACAATATACAAACTTAGTGTTCAGCTCGTCTCTTCCCTTATAGATTCTCCATCTTTCAGAGGTGCGGAATACCCGTGGAAAAAAATACACTCGCACACACACGCACACACGTTCACACGCAAATATGTATACACGCGCTCATCGACGACTCACGCAGATTTAACACAGCCACACTCGCATGCACATGCACTCGTACGAACCATGCCGACCCTCTGTGTCAGTCGGGCTTACTCAGTAGGTACGGTATATCTTTAGATTCTACGTGCGTATCAATTAATTTATTTGGCCACTGAACATTTAAAATTTAGTTATTTTTTTATATCTCATCTCCTTGGCTATCTCATCTCTTACGATCAGGTAAGAATTAGTCTTTTTGAAGTGTCCTCCTTCTTTCGTTTTTGATGAGTTACATTACAACGATTTCGATTTATTTCGTACCCGTTTGTTTTCTTTTTGGCGTTGTCGCCGGGATACTTGATTATTTTGTTGCACGCGATATCTCAAATCGAGATTTTGCAGATCGATGACGAGCGAGACGAGCAATCTCCCGCTGATGATCATATGTTGTAGATGCGCTCGCGGATACAAGATAGTAAAGCCGACTGTCTGTTGTAGATCATGTACGAGGTAGGGAATCGTTCGCGAAATATTCGGCTGCGTGAAAAGCGTACGAAAGTCTTATGCGGATTATACAGCCCGTAATATACTTGCTTATCTACATTGTTTCAATGAGTATGACGAGAATATTAAAAAATATATATATCATTTGTATTCTGCTGAGTTTTTCATGATGATCGTTTCATCGAACGATCCCCTTACCCGCGCATGTTTCGAGTAATGCTACAGTTGGAAAAGATCACGAGAGAAAAAGCCCATTACATTTCCCCACAAGCATGCAAAGTTCGATCAGGTTTCTTTTTTACCGTAAGAATAAAAAAGCGCTGCGTCAACAATGACGATCGAGTGGATTACCTGAAAGCTGGAGTGCGTCAGCGTTTAGTAAAAATCAGCTGTAAGTAGCAAAGCGAAACAGTCGTATCTCGCATTTATAAGCTTCTTTGCGAGCGGGCTGGAAATACGGTAGCGCGACGGCGGAATCGGTGGCTCGGGCCGCGTTGTAATTCGCACTGTGAATTCAGGATTAGCACCCGACACAGCGAATCTTCGTTACCGTCGAAACTGGTCGAAATCACGTATTCAATTACCACGCGTCGCGTCCGTCTCGACTCTCCGCTGTGTGAGAGCGCGATTACGATATGGGGAAGATCGCCGGCGGTACCGCGAGTGCCGGTGTGCGCGTTTTCTTTTTTAACCGCGATCGTCTTCGCGGAGTTCCTGAAAGAAAAAGCAAGAGAAAGGAAATAACGTTTGGCACCGACAGTTTGCATTATTGTCCTCGCAAAATCTACTTTTTGTTTTCTATAGCTTTTAGTGCACGCGCGATACGGCGCTCGTGATACCCAACGTATCTCGGTAAATGCGACAACCGTTGACTCGATCGTTTTGAAAAAGATACCAGGTTTGTTCTATGGTTTTATAGCAATATTATATATATATAT